AGACATTTGATAGACAGTATGAATTCCCCAGAAAACATTCATATCACCAACGTAATATTTTGTATATATGTTTTTATTTTCACTGTGGTTTAACTTGTTTTTAGTTTTTATTCAAGTGTATTTTAAGTTAACAGAGACTGAGAGTCCATTTAATTTTAATTTCTCGTTTTATTTTGTTAACCAGTTCCAGTGTTAAGTGTTCTGTTGAAAATAAAGTATGTTTATCTTTGGCAGGAAAATGCATGCATTATTACATCATTTCCATTAAATCAATGTAAAAAGGTCTTCAAACAATATTATCGTGTATCGTAATCATTTTTGAGACAATTAATCTTTCTGCAAAATTTGTTATCGTGACAGGCCTAGTTGTGTTGATTGAGGAATAGTAGAAAGGATTTAAACAATGAATGTAAAATAGATATAACTTCATGCTGTGTAATGGTTTAGGGAGATTTTAGCAGCTCTTCTGGATATTACTATTATCGTTAAAAATTTTTTTAGATATCTTCAGGTAGCAGTTTATTTTAGTAAAAGAAAATAGAAAGGAATATAATAAAGAAAAATAATTAGGTCAGAGATTAAGTTCAACTTCAGTGGGAGTATAACAGCTGGACTCAAAAGGCAGGAATCCTTAGAGCAGCTTGTAGAAAGGCCATCAGTAAGAAATGGTTATAAGAAGAATTCCCAACATTTCCAGATGGGAACAGTCTAGGCCCACAGATTAAAAAGCCTGTATATTGATTTTTTTCTAACCATGCAAATGTCCAAATCCATAACATATGTAGACAGGAACTAATAATCTGATTAGGGTGCTGGACAGGATGAAAGACAACTAGGCAGAGTTTTTTTCTCTCTGGACCTTGATTGTCCACCTCTGATTTTAACTGAATGAGAAGAAATTGTTCAGGAATTTGCTGTTTGGAACCATTGACTTTCTCTCTGAAGTAAGTAACAGACAAAAGGGTAAAATACTGGGGTGAAAAATAAAAACGGAAGTCATATATAAAACAATGATTTGCAAAAGCCCTGAGGACATAATGTGAAATATTAAGATTTGCTTTAAGGATAGCTCTAAATTCTCAGACAAAGTGGCTTTTCGCTCTCAGCTTATCAAAGTTAAATTGTGAGTTTTATACTGATTATTTAACCTGTGCATGGTGGCCTTTTGATTATTCTTTTCTTGTTTCAATTTTTCCTTTGAATTGTGTGAATTATTCATTGCAAAAGAAGAAAAAAAAGCTATTGAAAATAAAGTTATAAAGATAATTTTTTTCTGGATAAATCAGACTGTCCCAAAGCTTGTGGTATAGAGTATTATCAAAAGCTGCTGCTCTTCTTTAGGGATACCCAGCCTTAAAGATAATCAAAGCACATGCTTTTCTGGACATGGATTACGTCAAAGGAGGCCAGAGGATTTAGGTTTGTCTCTATGTATGGTGCTATATCTATTATTGATGCAGCTACATGGCTTTGGAAAAGCATTTGTCATGTTTCTTCTGTTTTTGCTTTTTTTGCACACAATGTCCCTGATCTACCAACATCCCAAAAGTAGGTGCACCTGAATAAATGTGCACATCAAACTGCAGATGTGATTAGTGGTAGTGTTGATGCTATATTAATACAAAAATTACACCAAAAAAGTCCTTTAGTCCAGTAGATTGGTCTGGACCAAGAGCAGAATTTTTTTTCCCATGCTGTTCACTTCACTTCCACATTATTTTTGTATTTTTAGAAGTCAACTACTGGGGTGGCTTTGTTTAAAGTTACACACATAAACCCTAAAATAGAGGGAAACTAACAAGGGAACTTCTGCGTGCAGCACCTCTCTTATGCGTTTATGCTTTTATCAAAGTGATTGTCAGGAGCAGCTTATTAAATATAGGTTTTGAGATGCTTGGTTTCTAATTTTGGAACAGCATCTGATGATGTGTTTTCTCCACAGGATCCTAGCTGCAGCATTTCTAAATGGCAGAGGGTATGATTTCACTACTATCCTTATTATGAAAGTGCGTCGTTGAGTTCAAATCGACATTTTTTTGGTCTGCACCAAGTAGTCTATGCTTCAAGTATTTAAATCTAATTTACAGTGTCGCAAAAGAGGGGAAATAAACTCCGGTCCGTATCAGGCGGCCCAAAGAGGCAGGTGTAAATGTATGGAGCTAAAACAGTACCAGATTGCGGTGACAACAAGAGAGATTTGTTCTTGTAAAATAAAAGTATTGTTATCGTAAATGTAAAACCTTATGGTGTTATTCTGGTGCTATACTGCAGGTTTTCATTCTTAAGAGAAATGGGATGTCTCTGAACGTTCACTCTAACGCCTAAACTCCCTATAGGAGGGCTTTGAATGCAATGCTAGCCAATATCTGCGAAATTGGCAGGGTCTGCCGAAGATCCTGGGAACCATTGCCCTTAATGGCACACCAATTAGAATTAGGACTTCATAGTCACCAGAGCCAGGGAGGTGTTGCTTTACAGAGACTCTGCTGATGCCAGAGTCTATTCTGTAGGCGTCACGGTCAGAACTGTGAGGAAATGGCGAGCATCACACGCCTTCCATGAATGCTTGTTCACATGGCATGATTTTAAAGTTGTCGGGGGATTTTCAAAACTGCATACATGATAAAAAAAATCAGGGGTAGTTTTAGTCGTATAGTATATACTGTACTCTGCAGCCATCCCACAAGGGCAGCACATTACACAAAAAGCCGATTTTGACACTTTCGATGTGCCATGACCAAAAGTCTACAGACAGTCTTTGTTTTCAACCGCAGATGCAATCAAGAGAGGGACTTTGCTTTATTTGCTGTGATGAGTGTAAAAAAAATTTCTTTAATATGTTTTAAAGCTGAAGTCTGTAAGTTTTTAAAAATCACTTTTTTGTCATATTGGTGGGGGAGTGGCGTGAAACCTGTTTTTCTTCAAATTTTCAGTCGAAGTCTGCTCTCTCCTCAATGTTACAGACTGCAGCTTTAAGCAAGAGAAAACACCTGAAATCATAAACCTTGCAGTCAGTTCAGGATTCAGATCCTCATGATGGTTATTTAGCTGGCACATGTTTATTTAATATTTAAAACAAGAGTATTATGATAAGTTTTTAAGGCCATTTTTGAATTTTCATTATTTAGCTTTTGATATTTATATCTACAAAATCAGGTCTCTTTTTCAACGTCATTCTTAGCTGTCACTGTTTTTAGGGCCATATATATATATATATATATATATATATATATATATATATATATATATATATATATATATAAAACAAAAAAAGAACAACCTCTGTAAATGGAAGGACCCTGGAGCTAAACAAGAGTAACCCACCTACCTAATTTACTTCTAGAGGGCACGGATGACTTAACATGAAGGTCACAGAGGAAGCCAAAAGACTATTTACAACTTAAAACGAATTCGGTTGGATGATTATTAGGCTGAAACCACAGCTGACCGAAAACAACAAACCTGCCAATCTGACATTTAACAAAAAAAATATATTGATGATGCTCAAAATATTTAGGAAAATCCTCTGTGGATTGACAAGAGAAAAGAGGGTCTTTTAAAAACGTGCCTGTCTACTCAGAGTAAACAGGAGAGTCCAGCCTACCAAAATGACTCAATGATGAGCGAAAACAGACCAAGTTAACCTCTGACTGCAGAATATGGCCATCCTCTTTAGAAGATTTGGACAAAATTCCTTCTCAGGAGTGTAAAGAGTAACTTCTAGTTATCACAGCAACCCCTTGCAACCCTTTGTGGCACAAGAGGTTTTTAGTAGCCCTCCCTGCTGTTCAGGTGCAGTTCATTTTTTCCATTAAAGGCTCGGTTGGTCTAGAGGATTTCTTGCTCAAACGGTGCGATCATTATTTAAAAACGTTTATTTTATTTTTTACATACTCTTATCGTTATCTGACATTGGTTTGATGATTTAAAATATTGACATCAAGCTAACACACAAGCAGAAATAGAAGGATTTTTTTAAGGTGATGCACACTTTTATTTACTCTACTGCAAACTGGTAATATTAAGTAAAAATAACAAGAGTAAACATGTTTTTGCTGAATTTGTAGATTAAAGGAACACATTCATGCAAAGAAAATATTGAAAATCACGTGCCTGTCTGTATATATGACTCATATGCTATTGTTCTGCGGAAATGATAATGCATCCTTTCATGTGTGCATGGAGGTGAAAGCAGATGTCAGAATTATTCCATTCATGCCGGGGAAAAAGTGAGGCAGCGTGATGGATGCACACGAGACAAAAAAAGATAAATAAAGTTTAGTCATGCAGTTTCAGTTGAGTCTAGTTACTGACACTTTCCACTGCATCAAGTTTCACAGATCAATGGCCACTATCTGACTCGTATGTAAATGAAACAGAGATCATTAAACTTTTGGGAAATAAGGGCAAGTCATCGATTATATTATTTATGAGCCTAATTAATCTCTGAAGGGGAACCTCTTACACTATTGGACACTGTAGCATGTGGGGGTCCTTCTTTAGGAATGGCATCAATCACCTGCTGTCCAGGCAATTGTGTGAGACAAGGCGCAGTAAAGTACCTGAGCTCCACCTCTTCCTCAGGCCCTTGGGCTCTAAATTAATTGAAAAATTCAAAGCCCTGACACTTATCTCTCTTTGAGAATGAGATCAACAGCCAGATCCTCCCGCGACAGCACCGGGAGAGAAGGATGCCTCTAACAGCGCAAAGCAGCTCTTCTCTTTTTGTGTACTTTCTTATTGCACCACTCTGAGTAAGTAAAGCAAAGCTATTTTTACAGCAGCTGGCAGAGTGCACAGATGAGCAAACAAAGCTGTTCAACGAACAGCAGAGAAACGTTCATGTAGAAATTTGTCTTAAAATCCCCCCCCCACCGCATTGAGATAATGAGTAAGATGTCAGCTTTTATGCGTCTATTCTCCTCTGTGTGTCTCGAAGCACTTGTTAGCCATATTAATGAAAGCAGTCCAGATCGCACTAATTATGTCTTCTCTCTTAGGTGTTCCTGGGCAGCATGTGCGCCGCATGGAAATGTGAGAGAAAAATATTGGAGATGAAGTGTGGGAGAAGCAACCGTGGCGAACTATCATGATTTGCGAACACCTCGCGATGGCGTTGTGCGTCGCGCTCCTTTGCCTTTTCTTGTGTCAGGGGGAAAGCAGCGGTATTTCAGAGGCCGCTGGCCTTTCCCAGGAAGATGGGGACTTGCGTGGGATTTCAAGCAAAAAGCAACAAGTCTTACCTCATCCAGAGTCCACAGATGTCTTGTTTGAGCAAATCAAAGAACTAGAAAGGCATTGTCAGGATGCAGAGGCTGATGTAATACCACTGCCAAGCCAAGCTTTGCAAATAAGTGGCAACAATCCAGCCAAGAAAATGGACACACTAGGCCTCCCTGAAATGTCTCCTACATCCTTTATGTCAAGACTTAGAACTGAGGTCACTGTGAAAAGTAACAAAGGGAGCAGAATGATTGATGGGGATGATGGTGGTTTAATTGATGATCACACTCTAGCACCCTATTTAGAGGAAGAGATGTCCGCAGACAGCCGAGTTCAGCCTGGAAGGACCTGGAGCGGCTCTGAACTGGTCAAAGAGTCTGAAAGCCGTCAGTCAGACAGGAGCCCTCGTCGCCGCAGGAGCTGGCTCTGGAACCAGTTCTTTGTGATCGAGGAGTACAGAGGGCCAGAGCCTGTGCTCATTGGCCGGGTAAGCTGCTTTTGTCACCAGTCTGCACGCAATGTGAATCTGCTGCATGTTTTTGTGTGAATTAGGTTTGTAACCTATTCCTGAGGGCATCTCCTATTTTTTTTTTTTTTTTTACAAATGCACTGTCAGTGGTATTACTCATGCACAGAATAATTTAATCAAAGCAAACACAACTGTCTGCCATGCTTTGTAGAGGCATTTGTATGTTTGCATTATCCATGCAGTGGAAGTGCACAACTTTTCACTCAGTTTCACTTAGTGTTCATTCACAATGCGTCTTGCACTCAATGTCTCTGCTTTTACGCTTCGAGGTTTGCCCGATGGACTGTGACATTTCCCACCAGAGTGTAAAGGAGAAATTGTATCCATGTATGTATGGTCCTGTGAGAAACTATTTTCCCTGATTGCATTTTTTTTCCTGCCTTTGCTTTTTTCACTTTTATTGATTAGATCATTATCCAAATTTTTATATGAGACAAAATAACGTCTGTGATTTAATTTATTTGTAGGAAGAAAAAAAAAAACTATTCAAGCCATGAAAAGGTTGTTGGCCTGTATTAGACTGTAAACATTTATGAGTCTATTTCCACAACCATTAACAACAGAGGGGAAAACAAAACGAAACATGAAACAGAGGGAAACTTTCCCAGAAGTGAGTGGCTAATCAACATTAGCACTGCCGACTTCACTTCTCTCAGTTAAGGTCAGAATATGTGATTTAACAATAAGGCAGAAAGACTGGGCAAGAATGCACCCATTTATTTTTTTATTTACAGACCAATACAGAAAAATATGACAAGACTTTCTTATATTTTCCTAAAAATATCTTGAAGATCCCCAAGTTATTTGGGAAACCTTTTGGGTGAAGTGATGAAACTATCAGCGCTGTCAAACCCCGACAATTTACCCAGAATTGGCGATGTCCCAGAATCACAGAATCTAAAACGCTGGCATATGCTGAACTTTCTATGTATTCTTTCAATTTTGGGCGTATGCATACAGTATTTATAACGACTCCTGAATGTATGTCCAATGACAGCCTAACTTATGCATAACGCACCACATTGTAATGCCCATGAAATGTCATAAGTTAAATGTCAGTGTCCTGAGGGCGGCAGCAATGTGCTCGGAGGCATCCTGCCTGCATAAAGAGCAGATGTATGTATTCAATTCAATTCAGTTTATTTATATAGCGGCAATTCACGACACATATCATCTCATGGCATTTTTCAGTTCACCACATCATACATTAAAAGTGATTCATAGTGGAAACCAGTTGATTGCATCATCATTGACTCAGATGCAATCCCTCACACTAAGCATTTTTGCGACAGTGATGAGAAGTCTCCTCCAGAAGTCTAAGCCTATAGCAGCATAACTATAGAGATAGCTCAGGATAACCTGAGCCACCCTAACTATAAGCTTTATCAAAAAGGAAAGTTTTAAGCCTAGCCTTAAAAGTAGACAGGGTGTCTGCCTCACGGACTAAAACTGGTAGTTGGTTCCACAGGAGAGGAGCCTGATAACTAAAAGATCTGCCTCCCATTCTACTTTTAGAAATTCTAGGAACCACTAGTAAACCTGCAGATTGAGAGCGAAGTGCTCTGTTAGGAACATAAGGAACAATCAGATCTCTGATATCAGATGGAGCTTGGCCATTTAAGGCTTTATATGTGAGACGGAGGATTTTAAATTCTATTCTTGATTTAACAGAAAGCCAATGAAAAGAAGCCAGGAGAGGAGAGATATGATCTCTCTTTTTAATTTTCATCAGAACTCTGGCTGCAGCATTTTGGATCAACTCAAGACTTTTAACTACAGTTTGTGGACTTCCTTATAGTAAAGAATTACAATAGTCCAGCCTTGAAGTAACAAATTCATGGACTCTCAGCATCAGCCCTGGACAGGATATTTCTAATGTTTGCAATATTCCTCAGATGAAAGAAGGAAATTCTAGAACACCAAGATGTTTTACTTTATGATCTGAAATCAGATACAGATGAAAAGACCGATTGACAGTCATCACATACACTTGGTAGGAAGATGTAGCTGGTTATCACTACCAATTATTAGAATTAGGGGGCGATTACTTTTTATTTGGATACTCTTTTCCCTTTATAAGTAAAATCACCACTCAAAAGTCAAGTGATCATTTATAATAAAACTGTTTTGATGATCGGAAATGTTAGATTAAGAAAAGCCAAAACAGAAATCTTCATGAGACCAAAACACTCAGCAAGCTTGCCTTAAAATGGAGAGTTAAGCTGAACTTATACATTTAGAAAGAACTCTGAACATTTTCCCAGACATTGTTAGCTATGCTTGGGTAAGGTGGTAAAATTGGGGTGCCAACATTGGTGTCATTTAGACCGTGAACCCAGTGAGCACATTCTGACCACTCTCCGAAATGGCCCATTTCGTTTCCATTAGTTTTTAAAATCATAATTTGTTAAAAATTCTCTGACAAATGGCTTCTGGGGAAAAAAGAGGTTTTGAGTGGAAGCACTTCTCCCTCGGGTGTGTGAGAGAGGAGAGGACCTGCGTGCTATCACAGCCACAGTAAAGTACCTGCCACAGGCGGCGGGGTATAATAGCCTGCCTGTCCGCAGACGGGTTGCAGAATATTGGTGTTAGCAGGCTATGCAGAAAGTTCAGTGTTTATGAACCTGTGAAATATCTTAAAAAACATCCTTCATGACCATAGCAGTTTACAAGCTTGTATCCAGAACATTCAGAGCTGCAGTTTGATGATGCAAAACAGAAGAACACAACTGCTATCAAGTACTGCAAATTAAATCTTGATTGCATTACATTTAGTCAATTGCTCTTGAATTGTTTATTAGGTACCAAAGTAAGTAGAGCTGAAGAACGAGGGGATATAGATAGCAGTAAAAGTTAATTGTAATTTATTTTCAGGTAGGGGCTGAGATACAAAAATTTTTTTTAAGGTTTAACAAACAACAAACTGCCATTAAAATAATTTATATAAAACGAAGAACAGTCATTGTTTCAATAAATACAATCTAATTGTGTCCTAAATCTTATTGATTTATAAACAGGTATTTATATCATGTAGATTTATCAGGTACTTACTGGACAATAATTGCATTTTTGTAAGAATGGAAAAAAAAAAATCGGATAACCTGGTGATTTATGATTATGTTCATAATAATTATAAGTATTCATGGTTATTTTGATGCATTAGCACCCAGAAGGTCAGATTTTTTTATGTTTAAGTCTAAATTATCACTTTTTATGCCTGCCTGTTCTTTACAGAGTTAGCTGTCTTGTGCTGTTGGCTCAAATTATCTTATTAAATTACTGTTTAATTTTTTGATTATGCTGTGTAGTAAGCCTGCAGTTACCTACTCTATACAAATTAGGGTAGAAACTAATGATTATTTTGCTAATCATTTGATTTTTAAGATTTATAATTGGATAGCTAAACTAATTTTTAAAGAAGATTTTTTACAGAATTGAATCCAGATGAAACTGCATAGAGCATATTGACAGACATTTTTCTTAAAAGCAAAATATTTATATATTTTATTATAAATGTGGTGTAATTACTGCTCTGATAAGGTTGCTCTTTCAGCTAAAGGCATGTAAATTAGAGTCAATATACTCCATTTAACGATTAATTGATTATTGGATTATTTGAGGATTATTTAAATTATTGATTAATCCACAATTATCCCATTAATTGTTAAGCCATAATATAAATTTCACTGCAGCTTCAGAGTGATAAATGATACCATGCTAGTTTGCACAACATGACCCTCTGGAAATATTTAAAAAACTGAAAAATATGTCCACTATGTAAGTGCAAAAGCCTTTTTTGGAGTCAGTTATTTTAACTAGTTGTTCTGGACCAAAATGCAAAATGACTGGCATGATGAGTTTTATAGATTTTAATGAAATCCTTCAGGTAGATTAAAAACAGAACAGGTGAAGAAACAGAAGTGAACCGAGGATCAGGTGAATAGTGGCAAATAACTGAGACTATGAGTAGAGGGGAAAACAGGTGCAAACGCATGAACAAACAAGGAAACACAGATGCTGAGAACCAACTAATTAACAACAAGCTCTGGCAGAGGGAGAGACTGTAAAGCAAGGATAAACACTGGAAGGAACACATGAATAACACCAGAAATAATGACTGAATAAATGAAAAGACAAAACCAACTAAAACGGTTACGTTTTAAGCAAGAGAAATAAACTAGTAAAACAACTGGGACATATTTTTTTTTATTAAAGGCAAATCCAAGTTGTTGAGATCCTACATTTTCTCTTCTTTTTTTATTCAAGTATGCTTTGAGACAGTCAAGGACAAATAGTCGAGTAAAAATATTAGAATTATTTGAACAAATTATTGTAAACCAAAAAGGGTTTTATTTGTTAATTAATTGCTTATTCAATTGTACCTACAGTAGTGACTGCTGCATGTGGTTAAAGAGAGATCTGAAAATGTCTATTCAACAACATGCCACGTGCTTCTCATTAGGCTTTTAAATGATGCACTTGTATGGGTGTGTAGGGGACAGATGTAAGATCACTATGTTGAAATATTGTCATTGGAATATAATGATCTTGTGAGAAATTGAGGGGAAAAGAAAAATCTGGTTCAACCTCTCCCCTACTGTTTAAGCTAATATTAGTAATATAAAAAAGCTATAACTGCACATGAGCACATAGGCTGGACACAGTGTCATCTTAGCAGACTTTATCAGTTGATAATTCTGTAAAACAATATTGAATATTTTATTTTATGGAAAATCTACAAACAATAAGACAGATAAAAAAAAAAAAACATTTATTTGAATTGAAATTTTCTACAGAATTTGGTTTAATCCTTTCTCTTTTTACTAGTTTTAAAATACTAATGGTACGTTCCATTATCCTCGGATCTTAAATCTAATGAGTTTAAAAAATCTCCAGTTTTATAGCTTATAGACCCTCTTCTTCTCCATGGTCACTATGGCAACTGTTACAACAATATG